TTTTATAGGCTCGTGTATCGCTATAAACTCGAGCCACCTAACCCTTCTCTCCCTCTCTCCCTCCCTCCCTCCTTCTCCCTCCTTTTCTCTCTTTCTCTCTCTGTCTATCCTTCTTTCCTCTATGTCTGTTGGTCTCCTCTCTTCCCTTTGTGCGGCGTTTTGCGGAACGAGCGCTGTAATAAAATCCGTTTCTTACGTAAACGCTCGCGTCATTTCCATGAGCACGGGACCGCGAAGCGAAGCGTTGTTCTGTAGTTAATTCGACAGTGGAAGAGATATCGGGTAAGATATTTCGCAGGCGTGACTTTCTCCATATTCAACGCTCCTCTCGAGAGGGATTTTTATTCTTGGCAATCCTGGTCAAACGTTGCGACGAACCGTTGGGTATTATAATGTCGAGGCTACGGGAGACAACGATAAGAGAAAATTCGCAGCCGAGATGTGACAAAAGTAATCGAGCAACTCCAGTGGAATGGAAATTGTGAAATTACATTTGAATTTTATCCGAGATGGAATTTCTTCGAATGAGAAGCGTTAGATTCGGCGGAATAAGAAGGTGAAGTGGAATAGGCCAGTCACTGGTCAGACCAAAGGCAAGTCAAGCCGATGCTTGGCTCTTCAGCTTGTTTCTCCACCGATCACTTTCATTGTTTCTGCTTATTCTCACACAATTACTCTTAACTAGAGTTACTCGTTAACTAGAGTTACGAATTAACAATTTTATGCAACACGTAGTAAAAGTTCTCAATTTTATTAGTTTCCTTCTTCTCTCGATTTCTTCCCCGTGTTTTGTCATTCTCTCTTCCCTCGCGTAATATATTCACGATATGAAAGGTATTGCAACTCCCGTTGTCCAGGGAAACTTTTCCAATAAGATATACGTTGGGAAAGTTATTCGAGCGACAGAAAAAGCAATCGCGAAGTTTAATTGGAAACCTTTCGTCTAATTTGCCATGTGCCAGTTACTTTTCTGTCTGTTATTCGTACACCGCTCCACACATTTTACAAAATATTAAAAATATCCATTACTTCTTCCATAAAGGTTCGCAATATGACAGGGGAAAAAAAAAAGAAAGAAAGAAAGAAAGAAATAACCCGCGATATTTATAAACGGATACACTTTAACTTTATGCAGTGATATTTCGTTCGTTTCTTCCTTTCTTTTCTGTCTCTCTTTCTCTCTCTTTCTCTGTCTAAAGGAAAATATTTTCCTTTCAAAAGTCATATAATTACAGTGCTTAATTGTTTTCCAATGCGCGGCTCTGTCTTTGTTTCATTCTGAAGGAAATAAATTATCTCTCCGAGCTATAATTTATCATCGCGACGTGAAAGGAAAAAAAAAAAATAGAGAGAAAAGGAGAACATTATTTCCCTGCATTGCGTATATCTTAATTCACCGGTATATAATTCCGCGCTTGAAATCGAAAATATGTAATCATCATTTTCCAGAATTACTATAAACTGTGACTTTCGCGTTATTATCGATCCCACGAGGCCTGGTTATTGTTGGAGAAATAAAAAAAGCTTACGTGCATTTTCGAACAAATTAATACACGTATGTCTATACGAGTTAATTCGCAGCGCGAGGGGAATAATAAAGTTAAATAAAATATCGAAAAATCCAGATACCCGACGATTATAAAACACGGTGCACTTGTTAATCGGTTGGTAAAACAGGAAGCTTCGGCTGCTGCCATCTGCAAACGAATTGGGTGGTCGTTCTCGTTCCAGCTATTGTTTCTTTCGTCGATACGATTTTATTAACCGAGTATTCAGCAAACGGAAGAAGAAGAAGAAAAAAAAAAAGAAAAGAAAACGACAAAGCAACAGCAGAATTTCCCAACTTGGAAACTCGTTTGTCTAGTTTTGTTTGTGCAATCGTTTCTCGGAAATTTATTATCGTCACTAAAGCAGAAAATGTTTTGCCGGTGCTCGCGAGTCGCAGCCCATTGATGCAATTATTCGCTCGATTACGTACGTGGCGGCAACTGCAGAAATGCGCTGTAGTCATAGAGGATAAAGCAGAACATCCGTGCTATCCGGACAAACGAGTTTCTATTCTGGCTTGCTACGCAATTTTTCGACCGAAGGATTGCGTCAGCGTTTCAAGAAAAGCAAATTCTCTTTGCAATTCCATTTTAAGAGAATCTTATTTGTTTTTTTTTTTTTTCAAAAACACGCCTTTAGACTTTAATTATTCCAAAGGGAGAAGGATAGAAAGGAAGAAAATCAACGAAATAGCATTTCATACATTTTTTTCGAATCTTTATTCGAAAGTCTTATAAAAAGTTCGAAACGAACGGTTTTTCATTTGATTTCTTACGGTCACAAAATATGAACTAAAGATAAATTAAACAAAAATTACAGAAATTCATCATCAAGCTGAAAAGCAACGATTGTTCGAAATGTAAAAAAAAAAAAAAAAAAAAAAAAAAAAAAACATTTCATGATTTCATCGAGTCGACGATGACCTCTGCGTTCCTTCAGCAGCTAGTAATTAACGCGGAACAAACGGATAGTAAGAAAATATTCGCTCGTGACTGCTGGAAGAGAGAGAGAGAAAAAAAAGAAGAAGAAGAAAACAAGAACTGAATTCGTTTGCGTATGCGTCCATTGTTCTCCTTGAGAAAGTCAATTAGTCAACTGGATGACTCGTGGCGACGTTCGACGAAACGGAACGATATACATATTCCGCGTGAAACGCAAGATGCGTTTCTCGAACGACGTTTGCGGGATCATTTAATCCTTATTAACCGGCGGTAGAATAAGCTGGTATTTAAGCAAATTGAGCTCTCCGGCTGCGTGTGTGTTGCGGAGAATTCCCGCGCGAATTGCTCGTTCCAATTGAGGATAAACAATGCAGGATCGCGATATTTCCGGCAATTGTTGAAACGTCGATCGCGCGATATTCAAAACCCGTTACGACTAATTGAGAAGACGACTATTGCAAAACGTTGTTTGATCGTGGATTGTTTCTACGCTTCTTCTTCTACGAATCTCTTGCTTTCTTCTTTTTCTGGTCGTGCTTTAGGTTTTGCTGAGAGATTCTCATTGTCGAAGAAGAAGACACAAAAAGTATTGCACGCTGCAAATTTGCTTCTCTCGCGCGTATATTATTTCGCGACTATTTTTTTTTCAGTTCTTTTTTTAAGAAATTCCTTCCTCGTGTTACTCGTTGGAGAACTATCACAACAACGATAGTTAAATTTGCAATGCAAATGAACTTGAAAACAAACTTACAGCCGAATAGTAACGCCCAGCAGATCAACTTCTCAGTGTGATCTCAGTCGTAATTGGAATTGTACAATGTAAATATCCGCAGTATAGTTGGAACTATTCTTTATTTGCATCAACGAGAGCTGTTCAAACAATCGCGTTCTCTTTTCTCTTTCTTTCTTCCAAATGGTAAAGAACAACATTCGACAAACACCGATACTAGAACTCATTACACGATACGAACTGTTATCGAAACTGTGACAATCGAGACGATAAATGGCTCGGTGTTTTGCTGTCGAGCAAAAAAATCCGAGTAAAATCGAGGAGGAGAAGGGCAGGTAAAATTTCCAACGAAATTTTTTCCTCCTGCCGATCGCGAAGCTGTCGATGGCAGAGTAACGTTTAATCGAGCGTAATCAATTTTTCCAGCAGAGATTTGCAGTCCGATAACCGATGGGGGCTCGTGAAAAAGATATTGATTCGAGAAAAAGATTTCTTCACTCGCGTCTGACGTTCGCGATTTTACAAGATGATCGATTTTGCAAATGAATGCTTCGTTCTCGGCGATAAGATTCGCGAGAGACTCGATAGAGACTGTACCGTTGACTGAGATAGTGGAACAAAAAAAAAAAAAAAAAAAAAAAATTACGCCGATGCAAATGTTTGCAAAGTCAAGCAAAAGTAGTTCTCTAGCCAGGAGCCATTCGAGTGCACCTGTACTCGTCGCTACTTCGAAATCGATTTCCAACAATGCCACCACCGACGAAGAAATTTCGCGCGGAATCCCACGCGCGGTTAGAATACGAAATACGCAGAGAACATTCTCAACGTATTTCAGGAGAAAGAGGAAAGAAAAAAGAAGTGGAAAGATATCAAGCTTATGAAGCTTGTGACGGACGACGCCAGCTTCGTTCTAATAAAAATCCACGCGCATTCACGGACACATTCATACGCGTGTCTCTCCGCGTGAATGGCGGCGCATCGATCACGAACGAAGACATATTCGTCGGTTTGATCAGTTACAATGTAAATTGCCACGAATCGTCCTCGTCCGATGGTTTCTGCTCGCTTGGTCCATTCGTCGCCGTTGTAATCGGAAATATGTCAGTGACAGCGCGCGATGTGCGATCAATTTGTTATTTAGCGAACGTCGTTAACTCCACGCACCGGCCATATCAATTCCGTTTCGGCCGCGTCATGAAAATTAATCATTGCCACGTATGCACCGTGGCATTTTCGTTCCTCGCGTGCCTGCGAACCACTTTCTAAGATTGTTTCCAAGAATCTTTCAACATCTTGCTTCAACTCTGTGTCGTAAAATGCGGCGTTGGACGAGTAACCAAAAATTGAACGATCTTTCTATTTCCATAGACGCGTGTACGACTTGGTCGTTTGAGATAAATTTCAGAGGAGGTAAAATTTAATTTCGGAGGAGAGTTAATTTAAGAAGTTTGAGAGAAATTAAAAGAAATCCGCATTGTATGTACAGTGTTTCTTTCCTTGTTCTTTCTGTAGTCGTTAGACACTTGTTATTTTCGTCTCTTTTTTCTTTTTGGTAAATTCTCGCAAAGTGGTTCAAGCTCGCAATAATCTCATTGCCACTCTGGCCTTTGACAATTCCTAGTTTCTCAACGTTTGTCACGCCCTAGATAAAGTATTTCTCAAAGTTGTTACTTCGTCATCGAACTTTCTTTCTTCAACCTTCGTTTTTCTTTTTTTTTTTTTTTTTTCAAACAAACAATGGATTACGTTGTAGAGTAGCGAGACATTGAATTTTTTTTCACTTCTCCGTCAAGATTCAAGATTGACATCAAGATTCAAACGATCGAATCCCAATTTGTCGAGGAACTGGATTTCTCTAGCTAATGTGAAAGAGATTATCTCGTCTCGACTAAATGCAGCAATATTTCTATTTAATTACTTGCAAATGACGAACGAAACAGGAAGCAACATAGGGAAGCGGTATTTTCGAAAGGCAGAGGAATAACAAGGAGAATAATAAACGAACAATATTTCTTCCGACGTAACGCTGTTTTTAAAATAAAATCCACAGTAAATGAAAGAGATCTTCCACGCCCGGTGGAAGTTTACAGCCACGTGAAATCCAACTCGCTCATGCAATTTTTCCCAACGAAAGGATTTTCAAATATACCCGGAGCCCGAGCGATAAATAACAAAACGCAAATTACTCGAGCACAAGCTCGCCTCTGAAGATCAAGAAGATTTAGTATCTCTTCAGTGTTTTTCCACGTTTCTAGTTCTCTAGGTGGAAATTACGCGAAATTGTTAACTTGAATTACGGTGCACAACTGCGATACATTTTTCCTTTGAATATCGTTAAACGGACTGACTCATTGATCTCATTCATTTACGTTCCAATCGAATTGCAATCAGCTATTTGTTAGGAGCAATTATTGAAGAACTTTTTAAAGGATTTTTATGCAAGTTGAAATTATATATTATTATAATTTCTGTGAAATTACATATATTTATATATTATTATAATTTCTGTGAAATTACATATATTTATATATTATTATAATTTCTGTGAAATTATATACATTTATATATTATTATAATTTCTGTGAAATTACATATATTTATATATTATTATAATTTCTGTGAAATTATATACATTTATATATTATTATAATTTCTGTGAAATTACATATATTTATATATTATTATAATTTCTGTGAAATTATATACATTTATATATTATTATAATTTCTGTGAAATTATATACATTTATATATTATTATAATTTCTGTGAAATTACATACATTTATATATTATTATAATTTCTGTGAAATTACATATATTTATATATTATTATAATTTCTGTGAAATTACATACATTTATATATTATTATAATTTCTGTGAAATTATATACATTTATATATTATTATAATTTCTGTGAAATTACATACATTTATATATTATATAATTTCTATTTATATATATTATTATAATTTTTACGAAATACAGCTAAAGAGACGAAACTTAATTTCTTCGATTCTCAATGTCACAATTAAAATATAAATTACGCTCAGGGAAGATAGCGAGATAGAAACGTTGTCCACGTATTGAGCGTCAATTCGCTCGAAAAATCCCGATTACGTCTCGTTTGTTGTTCAATAATTATCTTCGAAATAACTCACGTTCGCGATATTAACGGAATCAATTAGCTTTGTGCGTGCGGACACGGCGATGGAGAAATATTTTCAGAGATTTTCGTCGCTTCACTTCGGCGAAGAATCTCTAAGAGACTGCTTGAAAATTAAAAGAAGAAAAAACACGACCCGCTGTGAGGAAAATTTCAAAGAGTAGTTGGAAAGTTTCTTTTCTCGCGAGTGAAGAGCTTAGGCTGGGCGGTCCAATAAATTAGCGGAGTTATCTCGCAAAAATGCGAGCGCACGGGCTATTAATTATATCGGTTCGATAGGATATTTTCGCGTGGATTGAAGCATCGACTCCTTCGATTCGGCTCGCGAAAAATATTTCGACTTTGTGCTTCTCATAGAAATTTTCCGGTTGTAAATGTTCAAACACCTTTCCGAGAACATATTTCAATATTTTAGGGTGGTTAGAAATTTAGGGAAATTGACGACGTCTGTCGAGAAACTCGATGCTTTGATTAATTTTGACCGAAACGTCTGACACAACAGAATTCCCTGTGTGACCTGCATCTGGCCGTAGCTGTCCCAAAAATTTCGTATTCCGACACAGCGGCGCGTCTCGGAGGATCGTAAACAACCGAATGGCAAGGATATTTCGCGATCTATCCGTTTTTACAGTCTCGTCACGTGCTCGATTCTGTTCTTTCACTCCCGAAACCTTCAGTTCCTCGCGCACGTCTCCGAAATAAAAAAAAATGAAACACGCACGTTATCCTCTTCCAGCTGACGCCCTCAACGTGTCAATCGGTCGTTTCGTTCCCCGTTGTAGCTCGCGAAATTTCCGCGTATAAACAAACGCGGAGAAAGACGTCGAACGTTAAGTTCAGCAGCACGAGGAGTGTGCGAGTGAGGTGGCGGGTTCCTCTTACCAGCGGAACGTGTCAAGAAGCCCGCCGGTGAAAACTCGCCCTCGCCGTCGTCGTCGTCATCGTCGTCGTCATCGTCGTCGTCGTCGTCGTCGTTTCCCCGCCGTCGTGTTCCTCCCACCCCCAACCCGCCCCTCCCGCGCCCCCACGAGTTTTCTCAGGCACGGGCCAGCAGGCGCAATTCGAACCGCCGTTCCTGCCGCTCTGGCAGCCTCTGCCGGAGAAACTGTTCGCCCGTGCAGTTAGTCAGTCAGCACAGGCCACACCACACAGAGAGTCAGTGGCAGAGAGCAGTCCACACTCCCGGATGATCAGCTGGTGGTGGTGGCGGCGGCCGATCGTCGACGAGCACCAGGCAGCGGCACACGTGCCGCGTCTCCATTCGAACCGCGCTGCCTGACGCGAGCTGACAACACACACCAGCCTCGCATCGCGACGTTGTTACATTTGCCTCGCGAGAAACACGACGAAACGTGCGCGTCCCCGTGCGCGACTCTCTTCGCGTTTCTTCTTCTTCGACGAACAACATACGTCCAACATACGTAGGACAATTATTGCCATCGCGTCTCTACCTACGCACATACGTCTCGACGTCGACCGTCGTTAGTGTCGTCGTAGGGACGATCGTTAATCGGGAGATATCGTCGATCGACAATATATACGAACGACAAAGTACAAAGTCGTTTTTTTTTCTCCTGTTTCTCGTCAATCAGTGACCCGTCTCTCCTCGTCTATTTGGGATTTTTCTTATCGTCGATCAAAGTCGATCGGACTTTTCCCGATCCACGTGCAATCGAGATTAACAGATTTCTCGCGGCAACGTTTCCTTTTGTTTTTTCTTTTTTTTTTTTTTTTCTTTTTTATCGTGACACATCTTTCGTACGACATCGTTCAGTTTCGGAGCCGAGTGAACGACACGACTCGACTCGCCGCGGGAGGCTCGAGTCTCGCGAGCGCGTGTGAAGACGACGAACAAGTTCGACGACGATGGAACTGTGCTGATTGTGAGAGGAGAACGATCGCACGTATCCCCGTGGTTTTCCACCAGTGTCGGAGCGTATTTGGATGGCAGTCGAGTGGTGAGAGAGCAGCGTCGTGGTGTTATAGTGACGCGACCTTTCGTGTCGTCGGCGATCAACAGAGTAAGTCGAAGATTTCTCGTCCCCCCCCCCCCTGTACACAGTCGTACACACTCGATCTCGCTCGTAGGTTTCTCGTTTCTCGTTTCTCGTTTCTCGTTTCTCGTGCGCGGTGACGATACGTACATACGTATATGCTCGCGGAAGTACTCGAATTAGTTACTCGCGTTTGCAATTTAAATCAAAGTGTGTGTGCGTGTGTGCGTGTGTGCGCGCGCGTGTATGAGCGTATCTCTGGAACAACATAACATTTATACTAATCAGGTTCAATCGATAGAGGATACACACGTAAACGAGTGTAACGTTACTTTTCTTTCTCGTACACGTATCAGTGTTTCTCGATAAATTTCTCGGCTGGAGTACGATATGGCTCACGTGTGAGTAAATTTATGTGTGTGTGTGTGTGTGTGTGTACATTTAACGAAGAGTAGGTTTTCGTTCTTGCAAGCAGAACGGTTTTGCCATTGTTTCCCCCGATTGTGTCGCGGTCATTCAGTTTGTCGTAGAACACGTGTTGCCATTGTGTTTCGTCGGTAAGGTTTCGTCGCGACGTGTAACTTAGAGCGTTAACACTCGAGAGATGGGTCACACTTGCAGTATAAATAGCAGTTTTTACTTGCCCGTACGTATTTAGACTAACACATGTTTTCTTGTTTGTGTGTGTGTGTGTCTGTGTGTATCCTCCTCCAAGTATTACAACGAGTGCTTCTTCTCTCATGATATATTTTATGTCCATTCTACGCGCATTTTCAATCTGCTGAATCTAACTGCAAGTAATTCTTCTGTACATCGCGTGTATTACGTTTGCATTACGTTTACATTTCATTTTCCCGTGGAAGAAAAATTGCCTGCCTTTCAAAACGTTGAACCGTCGAGCCTGGCTCCGTATCATTTGTAGTCTGTCAAATGAATTATCGCCGATGGGAATTTATCACGAGCTTGTCAATAGTAGATCTCGATACAATCAGTAATTTGACGACAGTTTCTGCAAAATTGTTGTCGCGTGTCGTTTAAATATCAATCCTGTTGTTGTTATTATTATTATTATTATTATTATTATTATTATTATTATTATTATTATTATTATTATTATTACTCCTTTGACAAGTTAATCGAGCGTATACTGCTCAATAGATAACTTTTGAAAAAAAAATTGCGAAACAAGGTTATCTTCTAATTATTTCGGAGGAACGAAAAACCAAAAAAAACTAAAGTTTCCTTTTACTCGAAATTATAACGAATTCTGTGAATAGTTACGACACAATTTAGAACCCTAATCCGTAATATCGTCGGTCCACGACATTACGAGTTGAAGCGCTCGCTTATTCCGCGTCATTTGATGCCCGCTAAAAGCGAGTTAATAGCGGCGTATCGTGGAACGTTGCACGGCGCTATAAAACTTTCATGTACGGATGAAGTTCGAAGCGTTAAATGACCTTTAGGCGAGTTCGCCTTTATTTCGTCCTCTCGTCGATAATGTACGCGGGAGTTCCATAGCCCCTGGCCTCAGTTCATCCATCCATCGATGACCCATTGATTAAACCGTAGAAGACCCATACGCTCGATGAGAAAAATCTACCACGTTCTACTTTTTCGAACTTTCATCACGCGGAACGAACGTTCCCAAGCGTTTTTTCTTTCGCATTGTCGATGACGTTCACGATGAGAAATTCTCCTCTTTGTTACGTTTGTTACTGTTTAATTTAATTCATTCCTGTCATTTTTCTTTCTCTTTTTTTTTTTTATTTGATCCGTGATACTAGAATTCCAAAATTCGATTGAAATTTCCTCTTGGACATAACCGTTTGTTAATTTTCTGATCGTAGCTATTTATCTGTTTTCTTAATTGTTGCTTTTATTAATTGGCGTAAAGTCAAAATTTTTAGTTTGATTTTTCACATCCTCGGTCATTATTTGCGAAGAACTATATTCCATAATATTCTATAAAATCACTATAATTCCAATTGGGATTTATCGAGATGAACAAACCTGTGATAGATATATAAATCGCGTTTCTGCGTATAAATAAAAATCGATATCATTTTTGGCAAAATGATACACATCTGCAGTAATAATAAAAGAATGAATTCTTAAGTCCATTGCTCTGACGAATTTGGCAGCGTTAAATAATATAGATCGAGTGTCGGTACCACGATTAAATGTCCACACCAACGAATGATTCATTAACTGGCTTAAATCACGAATTCTGGTTCTTCATCATTGATGATCCACGGATCAAATTGCTCGTGATTTGACCTCAGAATTCCATTATCGATTAGAACCTCGTATCCGCATTTTCATCATTTATCATCCGTCGCTCTTCGAGCAAGCTGATTCACCTGATTCTGAAACGCTGTTTTTTTAATACTTTTAACGATCCGCTGAATAACTGAGAATTTTTTATTTTGTTATCATCACCTTCGAATTTTCAATCCTGATTCAATTTCGATCGAGTGTTTAAAAATTGTGGGCTAGAAATTTCATGGCTTAGAAATGGACAACTTTAGACGTCACTGTGTTTCATAATTCAGTGATAGTCGCGTGATATAGATATTTTCTGGAAAACTCGAATTCTGGCATTTTTATTATCAAACGAATCATGTAGCCTTCTTTCGTGATAAACGCTCCATCTTTGGATAAACAAATAATAAAAGAGTACAAATTTGTAAACGTCTCGAAACTTACAAAGAAAGGAGAAAAGAAGAAACTTATTATCTTGTTATCTTTTTTTCTCAAAAAGAAATTAGTCACGCTGAAAATTTATAAATTTTCTTATAACTTTGTAGTCTCCTCTCTACATTATTAACGAAGCACCATAAAATTAGCACTATATTATTAACGAAGCACCATAAAATTAGCATCACATTGTGAGTTTTCGTTTTCACCCTGGAATAGTTCAATCTGCCAATTCCAATGTTGTATAATTGAACTACTGGCCAATTATCGCTAGATGAATATGAACTACGTACAGACATCTAAATACCATAAAATTATTATTATACATACGTGAAAAAACCCGCACTGTCGATTACCGACACCTAGAATAGCTCAATATACCAATTCCTGTTACATAATTTAACTACTGTCCAATTATCGCTATACCAGATGACTATGCACTACATATAGACATCTACAATCGCGAAATACCATAAAATTACCATTATAACGACCCATATCAACCCATATCATCGATTGCAGGCTCCATTTTCACCCCAGAATAACGGAATCTCCCAATCTTCAAATCGCATAATTTACTAGCCAATTATCCTTATATCAGATGAATATGCATTACATGTAGGTATCTACAAATCGCGAAACACCATAAAATTACTATTGCAACGTGACATATCTGCTCCATCGATTGCAGACTCTGTTTTCACCTCGGAATGACTGAATCTTCCAATTTCTGTCGCATGGTACCAGCCAATTATCGCTATATTAAATGAACGTGAATTATGTATCCGCAAGCTGCGAGGCACCATAAAATTACCGTTGTAACAACCCACATCGTTCATTATCGACTCCGGTTTTACCCCAGAATAGCTCGATCTCTCGATACCTGTAGCATAATTTACCAACTATTGCTGTACCAGATGAACATGCACTACACATGTATATCTACAAATCGCGAAATACCATAAACTACCATAAAATTATAACAGGAAACAACCCGTATTATTGATTGCAGACTCCGTTTTCACCGATTCTCTCAATTTCTGTCATACAGTTTAATTATTGGCCAACTATCGCTGTATCGGATGAACGTGCGTTATATATATATGTAGTTACAAGTTGCGAAACACCATAAAATTACCATTACAACGTTGAACACCTCGCGCCATCGACTGCAGACTCCGTTTTCACCTCAGGATAACTGACTCTCTCAATTTCTGTCGCATAATTTAACTACTGGCCTACTATCGTTATATCAGACTACATATAGATATCTAGAATGTGAAACGCCATAAAATTACCATTGTAACGTGGAACAACTCACACCATCGACTGCATACTCGGTTTTCACCTCGGAATAATAACCGACTCTCTCAATTTCTGTCGTATAATTTAACTACTGGCCTACTGGTCGCTATATCAGATGAACGTTCACTATATACAGATATCTAGAATGTGAAACATCATAAAATTACCATTATAACATAGAACAATCCATATCATTGATTGCAAACTCCATTTTCATCCCGGAATAACTGAATCTTTCAATTTCTATCGCATAATTCGATTGCTGGCCAACTATTGCTACCAGACGAACATGCGTTATTTATATAGAGTGGTTACTGAAAGAATGGTGTAAAAGAAAAATAACTTTTACGAAATTTTACACATGTTTTTTTAAGTTTTCTATTATTTTATTTGGAAATGTAACTAATGAATTTTTTTCAGTATTTCTTTTGTAACCTACAGAAAAGAAAAGAGAATGAACAAGTTATGAGTTTTTCAAACTGTTCAGTTTTTCAGTGGCCACCTTATATATATAGGGTGTTTTTTGTAACTTGTGGGACACACTTCGGGAACTGATTGTACGCCTAAAAATAATAAAAAAAAAGTCATACAAATATATGTCCCATCTGTCTTCGTTTGTGAGATATAATGAATTTTATAAACAGAGCAAACTCTAGTAAGCTAGTTTTACCAAGGATGGTATATTCAATTTTCATAATAATCATAATTGGGATGAAGAAAACCCACATGTTATTGTGCATTCAAGACATCGACACCAGTTTAGTTTAAACGTATGGGCAGGAATAATTGATAAATTTTTAATTGGGCCTTTTTTTCTTGATGGAAAACTAACAGGCACAAAGTACGTTGATTTTTTGAGCACGCGTTTACACGAAATATTAGAGGAAGTTCCAGTCGATATTAGACTTCGTATGCGGTTTATGCATGATGCAGCTCCGCCGCATTTTAGCCGAGTGGCTAGGCAATTTTTAAATCAACACTTTGCAAATAAATGGATCGGTCGTGGAGGTCTTATTGCATGGCCTGCTCGTTCTCC